ATCGCAGGTATTGAGTTTGTGTACTTAATTCTTTAGCTGAATTCTCCTTTTCTTTCCTGCTGTTTTTTTTTTGTCTGAGCTAGAGTTACTCGTGTAATGGTATATTTGTAGCTGCATCTATTTTTTCAGGCCTATTCTGTAAACAATTTTTTTTAATTTTATAAATAGTTGGTAAAGTGTTGGTTTGTTTTTATTTCATATTGCTTTTTTTTTTTTTTAGGGTCTTCAGGAGCATAAAATTAGAAATATATGTGACTTATGTTCTTAATCTAGAAAACTTAACATGGCACAAACAAATGAATAACCTATTTTGTCTACGTTTGTTGTTTTGGGATGTGACATGTAGATTCCATCCCGGTCCAATGTTAATGTGAAACCACAATCATCTTTACAATGGAGAATGGATGTGGGACCGGTGACTGACTAGTGTAGCTATCTGATGTATGCAGCAGAAAGCCTTAGAAAGTTTGCTTCAACAAGGTGAAATAGAATATTTTTGTGATTAGAGTTGTAATTTGACAGGATGCCAAAGGAACTAAAGATGTAAAGATCTTATTTAGCATGTAATAAGGTGATTGAACTACAGAAAGTATGAAATTTGGAGTCAAATTTTATTCAGTGCAAACTCTAAACATCCTTTAATGCTGAAAGACTAAAAATTTCTGGGTAATCATTGTGATTATAAACTCAGGATATCAGAAAAGATTATTGTAGCTATTGCCTGTTGAATTAGTACATGGAGTATGTTGAAACAATTGGACTGATTTTTTGAAATTATGGGCGTTAAAAATTGTAGGCTAATAACTCATGAGAAAGACTTGAGAAACTTGAAAGTCAATGGAAGATGATATATCATCTGAAACTTCTGAGATTTTTCAATATGTCCATGGCATAAAATTTTTGATATGAACACGGTAAGTGAAATATGATTACTTAGAGGGCTTCAAGTTGCTTCTTGTAGAATCTCTTTAATCTTGAATATAGAAGCCTTTGTAGTCTCTGGTGAGTCTGAGAGATACAGGACTTATTAGAAAACTACTTTGGGCTTAATGAATTCTTTGTAGTCTCTGTTCTGAAACGTCTGGAGAAATTAGTTGAGATTTTTTTTCACTAGTTCGAATTATTCTTTTGAATATGCAGAAATTTAGCTCTTAAAAAAACTTAAATAAGTTCTTGAAAGTAGGTAATCTGGACACGATACCTGAAAAGTGTGCCCAGATATGATTTGGGAGTGTTGGGAGGTTAACTAAGGTAGCAGAGGAGAATTGAGACTTGGAAGGTATAAGCGTGCTGTAGTGTTGGTAAAAGTTGTATTATAGAAGAAGTATGGTCCAGATATGATTGAAGCTTCATTTCAACACCTTGCTGTTTCTTTAAGTTGTCAGCTGTGAAAATCTTTTTTAGGCCCTCTTATCAACATACTTTTTGCACCAAGAAGCAATTTGTCACACGGTGTGGTGTTGATTAATTTGCCAAGTTTTTTATGCTTGTTGTAATATAAATGCAAAGGTAAAAGTACAAACATGACTGGCTGCAAAGGATTCCTCTTTTTTTTTTCTTTTTTTCTTCTTTTCTTTTCTTTTTTTGGGGGTTTTGTTTATCCTGTTGACCATGGCACATCTTGTATCTGGTAGTTATGGTACCATACACTTATAAGAGGTGCTTGGCAAAAAGAAACGGGAGAGAGTGTGTTAGTTAAAAAATGTAAAAGCATCCTCTATGACTATATATCCTTTATATAGAACTATAACGAGATAGAGGTTTCTTGATAAGATTTTTTCAGTCATATGCTTATTTTTTCTTCTTACTTGAACAGGGTCAAATGTAGAAAGGAAGGAGGGGTTCGTTTTGCAGTTAATGGTGCTGGAATATTTCTATCAGTGTTAATCAGCAATGTTGCAGGTGCTGGAGACATAGCTGCTGTGAAAATCAAAGGCTCAAGAACCGGATGGCTTCCAATGGGCAGGAACTGGGGGCAGAATTGGCACATAAATGCTGATTTGAAGAATCAACCTCTCTCATTTGAGCTTACCAATGGTGATGGAGTGACCCTTGCATCTTACAGTGTCGCTCCAAAGGACTGGAATTATGGGCAGACGTTTGAAGGAAAGCAGTTTGATTATTGAAAGTAGAACCTGTCTGAAACGAAAAGATAATATTGTTATTGCTGACCCTCTCCTGAATCAAAGGTAGGGAGTACGAGGTGTATTGGTGGCTCTTTCTTTTTCCGAAATGAGGTTTAATTTGAGGAAGGGGCAAGGCTAGGGGTTTGGAAATGGTGTTGGATCATCATTGAGGGCAAAATATGTTGTACAACGGAATTTGTATTCACTTTTATTGGAGGGCACCTTTCGAGCACCGCATGGAGCTTGAAAATGAGAAGAGAGCAAGCAAGCTGTCTGTGTAGCAGTCTATTTTCACTTCCACAACAGACTTGGAAAAAAAAAAAAAACTGTTGTCGCCAAGTGGAAGTTATAAATTTGTTTGCCTTCACTTTGTGATAGCTATATGCCAGTATCGAGATCAACGATGAACCTCAAAAGACTTCTCTTAACATGCCATGCAAAAAGTGAAAGAGAATTTTGTCTATCAGTTGCTGCTAAGTGCAAAGCCCAATGAATATAAACAGTATAAACTGATAAAAGTAATGAAGACACGCTGCAGATCGAGGCAAAGTTGCCATATGCTAATTCATTCAACTGTTCAAAAGTTAACAAGTTAAAATGATAAAAGAAGAAAATAGGTTACAATTGAGTTTGTGAAATTGCCATCCTTCTAAAGCTTGACGAATGCCAAACTAAACAGGCTCCATGTTGAAGTCCAAAATTTGATGCTTGTTCATGAAAAAAGGTGACCTTTTCCTTCAGATGGTGGTTGTCCCTGATAACAAAATCTGTGCTGATCAATACTCCATCGGTCCCTTAACTAGCACCTTTTGGCATTGACGCATTATTGGAGTAATAACTAGACCTCAGTCTTCTCCTAACAGAAGTTTAATGGTTCTCACCTCACTGAGAATCTGGAAAATTTTAAACTCATTTGCCAAACAAGGCCAAGATTTAGAGGCAAGACTATTAACATGGTATTGCCTTGTAGTCCTACATATTATCCTCCTCCTATCCTTCTTTCTTCTTGCGTATCTAAGAACTTCCTATTACTGCTTTAATCCAGTGTTCTAAAGTCCAAGGACAGAATCAATACATACACAAACAATCCATTTACAACTTCATCAAATAATCAGTTCTCTACTGCTGGTGAGAAACAAATAATAGGTTCATAATTTAACTATTCAATCAATCGTATTTGCACCTAATGCTTGATACCATTATAGTTTCTTGCCAATTCTAAAATCCCATAGAAAAAGGCTTCGACTTGCCAATCTGCTTCAGCTAAATATTCAGTTCTCCTGACCACTGAATCCTAAAACCTAACCAAATACAACTGAGTGATTATACATCAGTTCTATTACACTGAATCTGGTCCACTATTCAATAGATCAACTGGATGATCATGAATTACCATAAGAAATTAAGGACCATTCCTATCCTAGCAAATGATATGCTTTTTTATTTTTATTTTAAAAATTTTACTCTCTTTGTTGATAGACACAATTATCTTTTACTTATTCTGTTAACACCATACATAAGCAGCTATCTTCAAAATCACCCTTCAATCCATGGTCCAAGGTAATAGGGAGATAAAACTCCTGGGGATTTGCAAATGGTTATTCTTAGAATGTCACTTCTCAGCCAAATTACAGAATATCACTGGACAAGTGAGTGATGCATTGACATGAAAAGGTGGGTTCAAGCTCAGCACTTGTGTTTTTTGAAAATCCAAGATAGATGTTCTACCTAACATAATTCAGTGGCAGCCATTGACTGCAGAATTGACAGCAAAACCTGTCACAATAGGTTTCAATATAGAACCAACCACAAGCAAGCAAGAGGCACCAAAGATAATCCCAGCAACAGCTTAGGTAAAGTGGTAAACTGAAGATGCTTGCCAACATTGGTTTCCTAATATCTGTTAATTAGAGAATTTGAATGATGAAAATACAACTCAGGTGTATGCAGGATTAATTCCATACACATTATGCAGAAGAGTTAACTGTTTGATTAATTCTTTATTTACTACAGGAGAGATAAAAGACAGCATGTAGCCTCAAGTTCAGATGCAGATGAAGAACAAGCTTGTGGCAGGAAGGATATGCTCTACAGTATCATTATGAACTGAACTACAATCATGCGGCGTACCCTATAGTCCTAGATCATTGCTTGGTCAATCACATAAATATGCAGGGATGAAACAAAACGTGGCGTATATTTGCTTAAAAAGAAGTATCATCATTGTTGACAACGAAGCATGGCCTAGTTAAGATGTTTCACCCGTAACTGATAGGTCACAGGTTCGAATCATCACGGGGGTAAGTAGGGAACCAATATTGATCCTCTAAGTAAGAAAAAAAAGAAGTATCATCATTGTCAACTTACCAACTATAGAGAATGAGAAAGTTAGATACCCTAACTACGTGGCAGAAAGCATACGTGTAGCTTTCTTCTCAACAGAGGACGTTACACCATCCCAAAATTCATATTCAGAACTACCACTCAAGAATCAAATGAAGTAATTTAACAAAGCATCTACATCAAATTCTTAAAATTGACAAGTATGTATCAGAAACATTCATAACTAATGTGGAAAAACATCAATTCAGATCATTGTATCTCTTCACATCAAAATTGAATGAGATACAGGAGTGGCTTCCTTGACTATGAAATACAAGTTTTGTAAGTGTCTGTATGGATACAAATTATCAAGGGGGGCAAAAATGAACCTATAAACCAACAACTAATACAAAACTTCCCATATCAAGGGAAGTGGGCTTGAAAGAATCATACATGAAACATTGAAGCAACTAGAGCTGAAACTCATGGAAGAATGATTTTGCTCCTCCATGCTTCTGGTTTCCTTAATTAACTAACTAAACCAAAATTGCATCACGACAACCTCTGTTGGGACTCAATGAGCAACGCGTTCAACATGATATGTACAGCAGCTTCATAAACAATTCCATCATAATGCATCCCATCTACTGTACATGTCCTTCCACATCCGCTACTCAAATAGTGAATATCCAATAAGAAAAGAGGTCCTCCAAAATTCCGCACTAGCTTACTTTTGTAAATCTGCTCATCATAAGCATACCACATTGCATCAGTCATCTTCGCTCTTTTCTCCTCTGTATTCAAAATCGAGTTTATCAATGTTGGCATCCCGAGCCAAAACATAAGAGGTGAGCGAACTACTACCGGCCTATCCTCAAATTCAAATTCTGGAGTAACAGGTAAAAGTGGCATCAACGAATCCTTCAACCTGCTCACTGAAACACCATAATCAGTTGCATTATTCACGTGTAACATATCCCACAACCCTGACCCAATCACAAAAACATCTGGATGGTACCTTTTCTCCCTAAATTCAACCATCAAATCCGTCAAGTTACTAACATATGGCGCCCAGATAAAATCCAACTTCATCCCGATCACGTCCACAGTGGTGTGGTAATCACTATGCCTCTTGAACAAATCCCCTCTAACCCTTTCTATCTCGTCCAATCCCATTAATAATTCTAACAAAGAAACCACCATCAACCTCGCCTGTGAATCACCAGCAACAACGACCCACGACCCGTTTAACAAATCAGAAGCATCAGATTTACTCAACTTCTGAAACTCACAATCCACTACACCCTTATTAGAATCTACCCATTTCCAAGACTTCTTTTCACTAGTACTGTCATTATTTCTAGAATCTTGATTATGAAATTCAATTTCGTGTAAAGAGGAAATGCAAGAATCACGATTTACAGAAGAAGCTACAACAGTTGGTGATGAAGGCAAAGACGATGATGATGGAATAAAAGCGGAAAAAGAAGGAAAATAAGGGGTTAGATGAACGCCTACCGCAAGAGTAATGAAAAGGGCACCGCTAAAAAACAGCATTTTGTTGCGACTCAAGTGCCAACCCGCCATTCCCATGGGTACAAAGAGTACTATACAGGCCGCCAATACTCCAAATTGGACGGCCCCTAACATCATTTCCGTGATTTCTGAAGTGGGTTCTTGATAATTTTCACATTTGAAGCGGCAAAAAAAGAATCAAACTTCTGGGTTCCAATCCTTGTGCTTATTTGTCTGGGGCACTCTAGGGTTGGGATGGGTGGGGAAGGGGCAGAGGGCTGTGGATTGTGAGCTAAGGGAGCTTTCTGGGGGTGATGGAAATGCTACAACTACAGAGAGAGAGAGGGAGAGAGCGATAGATAGAGTCAGTGTGTGTTGTGCGTGTAAATTTGGTGCTTGAAGAGGCTTTCCTTCTGGTAGCTGACAAAGATGGCCGAGGAAGGACGGACTGAGGAGGATGATGGAGACTTGCTACTTGCGACCTTTGCTTCCGATTTTTGCTTTCATTAGCTAATGGATTTTGGGCTTTTTGCCATTTTAGGAGCGATTTTTTTTTTTTTGGGTCTAAAATTTTTGTTGTTTTCTCTTTTATAATGAAGTTTTTATTGTTAGTTTTTAATCCTAATCAAATTACTGACAGAATCTGCAGACCGCACTCTGCTAGACGAACTACTAAATATGCCAAATTCGAGTAATGTTAAATTTTAGAAACATTTTTTTTTTTGAAAATACCCCCTAGATGAAGAGAGAACCAAGGGTGATGAAAAATGTTAGAATCAAATAATTAGTTGCACTATTTGTAAAAGAAAAGTGTTATTAAGACCTCACATAGTTAGAATCAAATAATTAGTTGCATTATGTATAATGAAATCTCCAGCAGTGAAGTTTGTTTCTACATGTTTTCCGCTTATATTCAAAGTACAAGAGGTGTAAGTAAATATTTTTAAACTACAAGGGGTGCATTTAAGAAAACACTTCGTCACAAGAAGTGGATGAAGAATTTGCACTACATTAGATGACACACACACCACTCAATAAGTAATAGTAGTATTAGTTTGTACATTCCCTTTTTCCCTAAGATTTTAAATATACCTCGAGGCTTATCCTAGTTAATTGATTTTTTATTGCAAGATTGTGTTCAAAATATGGTAATATTTGTAGGGTTACGAAAACGTTGTCGATCACAAATCAATTGCCGTGGTATTTAATTTGATATGAGAAGTGATGTTATTGAAAATTGATGTAGCATTAAAATATGAGGAACTTTGAGTCTGTAAGTAGTGATTGATTGAGAGGGCAAATTTGAAAATGGAGAAAAGAAATTGTGGATAATAAAATTTAGGTCTCCTAATGCTCAATAAGCTAGTCGAGATACCATTAAAGTGGAAGCAAAAAAACTAGTCGAGATAGTTATTCAAAATAACAATATAGTAAGTACTAGGGAAAAAGGATGTTTATGGAAAATAAAGATCTATATCAATACAAGTTGATTTAATGGATAAGAACGGATTATATTTTCGAAAACGGGGTCACGTGTTTGAATTAGCTGTTGATATCAGAACTATATTGATGGGTGATTTATAAGAAATCTTATAAGCACCTGTAGTTTTGGAGCACACCCTCGCATGCTCGTGTGTTTGAATTCTATTGTCGAATGGTAATTTGTAAGAATTTTTGTAAGCGGTCTAAGCGATCGATAGTCTCAAGAGACGTGTCCTCATGTGTTTGAATATTACTACCATATGCTCATGTGTTTGAATCCCATTATCGTGTGCGAGTACAGTGTTGGAATGCTGTACCGTATTAATGAGCAATATATGAGAGCCGCTATATGCTCCCAAGGGTCAGCTCGAATGGTCCGCTCCCCTCTTTAGGGTATGGTGGACCTTCCTGGGCAACCAGGGTTCGAGCCCCCTTGTCACCGTGCTCGAGTGGAGTGGGGTCTCCTCTCCGGACCGAAGTGGAATTAGTCGGAGCTCCGTAAAGATTGACCTGAATACTCACTCTGTAAAAAAAAAAAAAAAAGAGAGCCGCTATACACCTAAAATACGGGGGCATGCCCTTACCGGTGGTCCTAAAAAATAAGGATCCACTGTGCGAACTTAGAAACGTGGGATGAGACTCGACTCCTTGACTAGTCCGAGTCTTTGATTATTTGTGTTTGACAACTTTGGGGTTTAACCCGGGCATCACGAAACTGATGAAAGAGCAGCTGGTTTAAACCCCCCCTGAGACTCGACAGAAAAAAGAGAGAGAGGTCAGAGGAGTAATTGTGGAAGGAAAAGAAGAAGGAAGAAGAAGAATTGTGCAGTGAATCAGTCAATGGGAAGTAAAACGGCAACAGAAGCCCAGAAATACGTATGGGAAGGAGCCATCCCTCTTCAAATCCATCTTCATGAATCTGAAGTCACCACTCTTCCTCCCCCTTCCCCTGCCCTGGTACCTTTCCCCATTTATTGCAATTTTTATATTTTCCCTTCTTTTTTTATCTTTTCTTTATTTTGTTGAGTGTTTTTTCTTTCCTTGCTTTTTCGGGGTTATGATTGTCTCCTAGACTTTTCTTTTTTATAGACTGTAATACTACAAGAGTATTCATGATTGATCTCTTAATTAGTATTGATCGTTGTATTGAGCTTAATGGCAACCTGGTATTGATGGGTTTTCATTGCGCTAAAGCGTGCCATTGATGACTAGCATGTAGAATAGCTACAGTGTATTTTCCAGCAACAAGAATGTATAGAGTTTGAGAATATTCTTATCTGATAAATGCGTCGATCTGCGATTATGCCCAACTGGATTTCTTAGGGATGCTTTTCTAAAGGAAGAATTTTTAGATACTAAAATGAAGGGATGATATTTTTATCAGTGCTAGGAACAAGTTTTAAGCTTTCATTGGACCGTAACGGATGTGAGATAGTATCTACTAAGCTTGTAGCTTGCGTGAGTGGCTAATACTCTTAGTGTGAGTGTAAATGTGACGATATACTCAGACATTCTCCGTAGTATGAACTCTTAGCTGGGCGGCAGCTACAGTAAATTGACGCACTGGGAACAAGCTGCAGTAGTTTGATAGGAGACTCTTACCTCGGACCATGTTTTTAGACTTTTCCCTTGTCTCTTCCTTGAGATTTGTCAAGACAATGTCTTTTGTGCTGAACTCTTAAGGGAGTGATGTTTATGTATTCACAGTTTGTGTATGAAGGACCCCTGATGAAATTTTATTCATTGCTAATCGTAAATATAGTTGGCTGCCAAACTCCTTGCAACCCCACTTCTTCTTTAAAAGAATAATACTTCCTGTTATTAGTCTTTGACTTTAAAATTCTGCATGGCTTGCCGAAGATGAGAACTATGATGGCTCTAATTTTGATGTTTCTGTGCCAATTCAAGAGTTTGTACTGGGTAACACCAATTACTTGAACAGTGGAGTATTTCGCTTGGAGATGATAATGAGATTTGGTTAGATGTAGCCAATCTTATAAGACTTCTGCTTAATTTCTTTTACTGCATCCCAGTAGCATTTGCTGTTTTGGTTTGAGAATCCTGCTCAGGCGTAGCACCTATTAGTAAACCTTTGGCTTTGTAAGATGATTTGGTTTTCCTGATGAAGTAACAGATCCAGTTTCTCTGTTTCAGATTTTGGCTCCTCGCATAGGATATCTGCCTCTCTTGGTGCCACAAATTAAACCTTTCTTCAGCAGTACGCTTCCTCCTGGTTCTGACACTGTCTGGTTTGAGTACCAAGGATTGCCTCTCAAATGGTATAATGTGCTTTACGTGAACAAGTTTTAGTAGATGGCTTCATTTCTAGTAGCATGGATAATATTATCATAATTGTATTCTTTTGAAACATCAGTCAATGTAAATATGCTGATTTGCAAGTAACATGTACCATACCACGAGTAAGTCACTTGATAAAAAATTATACTTATTGGCCTTGAAGGATATATATAAAAGCGTGCTTCTTTCATTGCTTTATTTGGCACTTTGTGTCACCTCTCAATAGCATACCTAATATTACCGTTCATTACCATTTTCTCTTTCCATAAATTATACTTGCATGCTACTTAACCTATTGGGCTATGGTCTACACTACCTGTTAGACCATGGTGATGAGCAGGAGACTCCGGAATTGATGCCTACCCATGGTGATGCATTCTGTTTCCTGCAGTATGTTGCACAATCGGGGTGGTGCGTAAGAAATTCAGAATGAAGAAGAATAAAAAAATCTAGTAAATGAGGAATATTTTACAATTTGAACTCAATTACTGTCACTTTCTCTTGATTAAAACTTCTACCAAAGCTCTTTCACACTTGAGTGCATGGTTATGGAAAAAGAAAAAGAGTAATTTTGTTATTTGCTACTGTTTTTTCTCAATTGGAAATGTTGTTTTGTATGACATAGACTATTTTTATTGTTTTATTTAAAGTTTTCTGTCCAGCACTGGACTTCTCATGTCACCATAGCGTAACTTTTGCTTATCAACATTATATTGACTAAAGAATGCATATTCTTGGTAGCTGTTATTTGGGACGATCACTGTTTCATGCACATTGGCACAAAAACTTTTTGCTTAATTGTATAAGTTTTCTTGAAGGTATCTGCTTATCTTTCATTTCTCTTAACTGAAATTTTCATGCTTTTTTCAGGTATATTCCCACAGGAGTACTTTATGACCTTCTTTGTGCAGAACCGGAAAGGCCCTGGAATCTCACGGTATATGTTTGCCATTTGTATTTCTCTGAAATCTTATAGACGTTTATACCATTGGTTATACTTTATTTTCATACTTTGGAGTTTATTAATTTGCTTACATCAGACAGATAACTTACATATTCAATTTTATTGCCAAATAAATTTTGTGGTCAGAAGGGTTTTCTGCTCTTTTAGACTCTTCTGAAATGTCAAAGGAGAAGATTTGGCTACTTTTTGCTATGAATTAGTTTGTTGCTTTATTATTGTTGCATTAAAAATACTTGTGTAAAGTTTTCAATCTTGTGCTATTATGCTATCCTTTTAAAGCATATAGCGTATGTCGTTTTTTATATGAAGAAAAGCAAGATAGTTGCATTAAAATGATAAAAATGCTGCTAGATACATCTCCTTGTTTAGCCACATAAGTTGTCGAAGTGGCTTAATATCTAATACTGCAGAATGCGTGATCGTATTCTTACCACCCATTTGGTTTGGGGGAATCGCCACTATGGAATGGGTTTTGATGTCTCAAATCCCTTACATGATGGTCGGTTGACACCTATAGGTATGACTCTATCACTATGGAAGAGCCAAAAGTGGTCAATGGCCATTACCGACCAAATTGGACACTTTCATTTGGATTCCATAATTTTAAGCACTTTATTTTTAATAAAAAAAGTAAAGGCAAAAGCACAAAAGACCGCAAGCCTTCATCATTCTCTGTCTTCTCCATCTACATTTTCTTCTTTCCTGTTTGCTCTCTTCCCTTCTTGCTCCACCCTTTATGGAGCTCTCTCTTCTCTCAATTCAACATCCTGACTATAGAATATGGGTGCTGCCATGGTGGGACTTTTTTTCTTTGTGATTTAAACTCGAATTTTGGTAGATTCAGAGAATTTGGTAACCAGGTAGTGTTGCCATGCATGGATTCTGTTCTTGATTTATTTGGAAAAGCCGCGAATCTGCCATGAGTTGGAGGTGGTTTTGAACCATTTTTGTTGGGTATTTGTTGATTTTGTTGAAACATCAAATCAAAGGGGAAAATTGGATGGAGATCTGGAGGTTATGGAGATTTGAGGTAGAGCAATTGATGTTGTGGAAATTAGTCCATCACAAGCATTTGATGAAGGGCTGATGACTAGCGGGACTATAACAGAAGGTTTCAACAGAGAACAGAGCCATTGAGGCGATAACACCCCCCCCCCCCCCAACAAAACAACAAAAAAAAAACCCAAAAAAAAGAAAAACCTTAAATATGCTGATTCCTATACCGATACAAATACTCCCAAACATCAGTTTTCAGCAAAAGGAATCCCACGTAAATCCATTATTATTGAGGGGTCATAGTTGTTGCCATTGCCTAATGTGAACCAAATGGGTAAGTAATTTTGTTGGGTTGTCATATAACAACCTGGGGTCAGCTTGGCATGTTGCAATTGCAGAAAGATTTAAGCTACTTACTTATTCTGTAGAATTTGGTTTTGCAATAATTTTCCTTATGCTGTTGCAGGTACATTTTAGAGGATATCCAGGAAATATTCTAACTCCATGTGAAGGTGAAGATAGTGTAAAATGGAGCTTTATTAATTCATTGAAAGAGGTTAGGTATAGTATCTCTTTAGCTGTTTCTATGATGTTCATATTTTTCCTAGAGAATTTAATAGAAAATTTGTCATTCTAGCTTTCAGTTGGTTTACATATTATTCATCCTTTTTTCTTTCATTTTATCATGGATTGTTTATTGTCTTTGTTTTGTTATTGTGGAGCCACACAATTTTCCTCTTCATATAGGTTGAACCACATTTCCTTCCATGGCTATATTTGCAGTTACATACCTTCTTTGTTGAGTTTCATTAAATGTACTTTAGTAATTCTGGTGGATTGAACATGATTTCAACTTTCATAACATTGTCGCATTTAATGTAGTAGAAAAATTGGAAATTTGATGAATAGAATGGAAAATGTGGTCCTCTATCCATAAAAATAGGAAATGAATGGGCATGACAGCAAAAAATTATATTTGTGCCTTACATCCAAGTAATAGTAGAACAAAATAATTTCAATTAGATTCCCTCTAATATTTAATTAATGATTGTCTGGCACTTCTGGAATGATCTTGGAGATATCCTCCAAAACACACAAGAATGTCAGAAAAAAGGGAAGATATCTGCATTGGATAAAAAATGTATTCTGGAACCTAAGTTAGTCTGGTTAGTATACTTCTTAATTTCTTATTGCTTTCCAAATGATTTTTTATTTTCATAACAACTCTTTAAGTTTCAAGCATTTTGTGCCAACCTAAATCTAGAGGGTTCCTGAATCTTCTGCAGGCAGCGTACATAGTCAATGGTAACTGCAAAAATGTGATGAATATGTCGCAATCTGATCAGTCAGAACTTTGGCGCTCTGTCCTTAATGGTATTGTACCACACCATTAGCTTTCTTGCTTCCTGAGTTCTTGTTTCACACCTTTGCATTCTGTTTTAACATGATTACACTATACTTGATAACAATGTGGAGCAAAAGCACAGGTCAGGATGAGGATCGTGATTTTAATAATTTTTTTCCTTTTTCTTGGGTGCCCCCAAAGGTGGGTGGGAGGTGGCACATATCTAATCTGGTTGCATACCTGAATCACGTGAAATTACCCAGTGCTTTTTTGCTTTTCCCTTCCCTTTGAGGTTGACTGAGACTTCTATCACGAGATATATGTTAGGAATGTTAGGCCTTGAAATTTACAAATTGATCTTCATGAAAGCCAATGGGATGGAAAAGATTCAAAGCTTAAATTGGCGCAAGATAACATGTAATATTGAAATTCGGATCTGTTGGTTACTTTCAGATGATAATTATAGATTCTGAGTGTCCTCTTTTGAATTGTCCATTGTACGGTTGATTATTCACTATTGATGTTGGAGAGGAAGTTGATTATTTCCATTCCTTTTCATTGCTTTGTTTTCAAATGTTTTGTTGTAGGGTTGCATGATAGTTGTATTGTGTATAAGATTTAAACTGTTATATCTGTCTTTTCTTTCTGGAGTTTTAGATGCTAGTGTTATGGCATCGTGACACGAAAGTGGCCCGATTATCTTAAAATTATAAGTTTCTTGTAGTTATCCTATTTGTTTCGCTTTATATACTAAATCAGTTGGATTTCCTTTATGTTAGGCATAAATATCAGTAGATAGATAGATATCATTTCTTTTACAGCTTTTAATTGAAAAGGAACTAATACTTTGGCTGTTGTAGAAGAAGTGCAAGAGCTTTATTCTGATATTTTTGCGTGTCTTATTTAGATCGTAGGATAATGAAAAATCACTAGCTACTTGATGAAGTGGGAACTACTCTACTTCTGAACTTGTTAATTTGTTAAATTACATTTTCTTCTGAAAGCAATCTGATTCCATCAATAAATCATGGTCAGGTAACTTGGAAGCCTATATCCGGGTTTCATCAAAGCTGAAACTTGGCTTAGGTGGAGATGACTTTTCAATAAAGTTGAACACATCCTCTTTAAAATATCGGCAAAGTGCTGCTGATGCAGAAGCTAGTGCAACAATTAAAGCAGGTGAGAAGATTTGAGCATGTTCAGGTTGGGTATACATGACATGTATGTAATCAAAATAGTGCATGGCATTTCCCTGCCTCCCTTAGTTTTTCAGATATTTCATTTCACATGCTTTAGCTTGTATTTATAGATCACCATACTATGCTTTTCTTCAGAACTTGCTGGTAATCTAGATGGACATATGCTAATTTTTCAATTTCAGGTTTCACCATTAGGTTTGGTTAGTTGATGTTTGCTATGTCTAAGTGCTAGCTTCTCCTGTGATGCCATTTATCTGAAATCAGGCTGGTATGGGGTCCATATTGCAACTGATAAAATAGAGGAACAAAAACATGCTTCATTCTGGTTTGAGATATGGTCCTTTACTTGATTTGCAGGGAGGAGGATAGAAAGTAACTCATATCTGTTTTTACACATTTTTTGGTCATTTGCATCCTTCACCTTCAATTCTGTGCTCTGGCAGGTAGAATTCCTGTTAGGTTGTATGTTCGACGTGTCAATGAAGATTTTGATGATGTGGAAGACGCGCCTCTGGTTGATAATTGGGATAAAGTGTCTTATATAAACCGCCCGGTTGAGATTCATGACAATGGTAATAAGAATTCTTGCTTTAACATCAAAGATATTCATTCCTAGGTCTACTCAAAGCTGGCAAGTGAGCTCTTAACTTCATCTTGCGAATCATTACCCATGGATACCTTTAAACCTTCTAACACTGCCCATGGATGGTATGGTTTTAGAGAGAACTCTAGAAGGTTATAACTTGGGTAATTGGAGGTTAGTTTGTTCAATCTGTCATGATTCCTTTGTCTTGATTTTGGGGCTGAACATGCGTGCAAGTTTTCCATAAGAAACTTTTGCTTTTGATGTCTTTCATCTTGTGATTTTGATTCCTGAAAATTGTGATGTGGTATTAAGTCTTAAGATTAAGCATAAACTAGTTTTCCATGCCTGATTTTCCCTGTTAACAGCTTAGTTTTGGCTGTTGCTACTTGCTCAACATCCTTCAGGCAAATAACTTAAAAGAATTGGTTAATAAGCCGGTATGCTGTTCTGGCAATGCTATGGAGTAGCCATATTATATTGCTCAAAACACCATTGATGGCTATTGCTAATACAAGGATAGTGGTCGCCTATATTTTTTTAGGTGGCGGAGGTGGACAGTCTTAGTTGCAGCGCTCCAGAATATGTTCACTATAGTCTATAAGGACCACACTAACAAAATTATGCCTAGCCACATCATGTTCAAACATCCCTGTATTCAACATCCCTTCCATTTTGAGTCATATGTAACAATGAGAAACTTAGCGCACACTATAATATATTAGTAATTAATTACCCGTTAAACTAGGAGGACATGTTGTCTATTCAAAATTGTTCCTTCTTGTTCATTATTATGATAACAACTTTGGTCATGGCAAATAAGCACTTGCTATGCACATCTGTGACTGCAGGGAAATGCTTCACATTGGGCGATGCTGTCAAAGCCCTTCTTCCAGAGCTTTTTCCTGACAAATCTTTGCCTAATGATAGCATGTCTTTGCCTCAAGTGGAGGATGGAGAGGGATCAGCATTAGAAGAGGCAAGCGACACAGGCAGTGCAAGAAGTCCAGAAGATACAGGAGAATCAGTGCGTGAATGTCAGGATTCCTGCTCTCTATCAGAGACGGCTGATGTAAAGCTCATTCGCATTCAAGGAATTGAACCAAAGTTGGAGATTCCCTTTGCATGGGTGGTAAACAACTTGATGAATCCTGAGCACTTCCTTCATATTAGTGTATATGTCAGAGTTCAAGAACCAATTACCGTATGATATGGCATGTCTCTCTTCATACCCTACCCAAGTCTCCCCGTTGTATTTTTTCTCTCACATTTTTGGAAGCGTAATTCTTTTTTTTGGCTGTACAGTGTACAGAACAGTTAAAAATGTGAATGGATTGGTTCTTTGCCGATTATTGGTCATATACAACTTCATCAGTTGCATTATCGCTTGTGAAATTTCAGCAGTGCTTTGATGGTTTAAGCTCTTCCCCTAAGTTGATTGCCTCTTCTAATTGTCAGTATATCTTTTGCGGTATAATTTGATGTTAACAGCTGCTGTCCCTATCTTCTTGGGGACATGCGTCACATGAACTGCTCTCATTTAGGACCTAAACAGCAGCTGTCTTGCTAACCTTGCGGTTAACTTCTACTGCACACGGCTAGATGCTGAAAGCTCCTACTTGGCTACACTTTTCATCTGAGATATCTATGACCAAGCAAAGCAGAACCACATAGAAACTGCGAATGTTCTCATTGGTTTGCTCTCATAAAATTTTCCAATGTTGTATGGCTTTTTCCACATTGCAAAGCTATGATGGGATACTTTCTATGTTTCAAGGTAGAGAAGAGTTACGTCCAAGATGGGGAGAAAATGGCTGAGAAATTGAGGGCAGTGTTGTGGGGTTCTAACTGAGAAAGAAATTATTGACAGAAAGCAAATGGCCTTGTAATATCTGTTGTCATCTCAACGGGATGAAGCTCGTAATGGCAGCCAGTGTTTGTTCTCTTTTGGGATGATCATCTTCTGTATATTGTACCCCAAACGGCTCCCCTCCCCGCCAAATAAAAAAGGGAAAACCCGGAAAATGAAGGTTGCACCATGAACAGAAATCCAAAAAATTTCAACCTAATAACCATAATCTCATGACGTAAATCACCAGTTCATTCAGCAAGAGGATCACAAAGTAAATTTATTGCTTAATTATTTTCTTTCATGAGTTTGCCGGCAGCACATAAAACCATCTTTCTAAGTTGTATATATTAAAGCACCCCAAGACAAATTAACCCTGGATGGACGAGCCGAACAAGGCTCTTTTGGATGTGCTTAGCAACAATATTTGCATAGAATTCAACATCTATATTAGATAATTTTTCTATATAAAGAGAGATTCATGGCAGTGGAAATCATCATTACAGCTAGAAATCAAAGCAGAGCAAGTTTTTGAGGAGAAAAAAAGATGGCAAAGGAAGACGTTCTTCTTCTTGATTTCTGGGTGAGTCCCTTTTGCAGTAGGGTGAAGATTGCATTGGCTGAGAAAGGTGTTGCTTATCAACAGAGAGGAGAAGACATATTTGGAGGCAAAAGCGAATTGTTCCTAAAATCAAACCCAATTTATCAGAAAGTTCCTGTGCTATTGCACGATGGGAAACCAATGTGTGAGTCCACCAATATTGTGCAGTACATTGACGAGACTTGGCCTTCCCCTCCACTGTTGCCTTCTTCTGCTTATGACCGAGCCAGGGCTCGATTCTGGGCTGACTTTATTGACAAGAAGGTGGGATTTGGCAGCAATCTTCTTTCCCTCTTTTTGCTATATATAAACTACTATGATTGATATGAAGTTTCAAGTTTTCGTTTTCTCTGGTATTATCAATTATGTTGCAGTTTAAAACACTGAAAGGGTAATTTGAAGTAAAATTTCGTTAAACAAGCAGCAATGCAGTCCAAATTAAGTACTTTTGGCTTAAGAAGAAATAAAATCAACTCATTTAGAATATCCGGTTGCTAATTCTTAACTAAAGATTCATTAGCGTAAACAATGAGGTTTATTAACTTAGAAACTCAATGGTTAATTGACGATTTACAACTTAAGATGGATTATATATGTTGCATTTCCCATATTCTAAGCCAACTTTTCACGGGGGGTATCCAGGCTTCGGGTAAGCCGGACCCGACTAATCCCCCTGTGGTTCAAGAAGAGAGGCCCCTTCCCGTTGAACACGTTAATCCTGGAACTCGAACCCTGGTGGGGGATGGACAACGTACCCTGAGGAGGGGCCGTGACCAACCGAGCTACCCAGGTGGGGCAGTCGACAGCACATTCATTGATACAAATGTTCTAGTATTACAACTGAGTCTTTTTAATATTTGGTTTTATTTCTAAATATTTAAAAAAAAAAAACCAATTTTGGCTTATATTGCAATTGAAATCGTGTTATAGTATATATATATCAATTGTTGCTAACAAATTTTGTGGTGCAGCTCTTTGATGCTGGTGGCAACATTTGGAAGACAAAAGGTGAAGATCAGGCGGCTGCAAAGAAAGAACTCATTCAAATTCTGAAGTACTTGGAGGGAGGTTTAGGGGACAAAGACTATTTCGGTGGTGATAGCTTTGGATTTGTTGACATTATAGCAATCCCCCTGACCAATTGGTTCTTTGCTTATGAGAAATTTGGGAATTTTAAGGTTGAAGAAGAATGTCCCAAATTTGCAGCATGGACGAAGAGGTGTTTGGGAAGAGAAAGCGTTGCCAAAACCCTTCCTGATCCTCAACAGGTTTTTGAATTCGTCAGTATGATGAGGAAGATGCATGGCATTGAATAGAGAAATTGCATGGCATTGTTGGGATCGATCACTTTCTCCTTTTTTTATCTTTTTGTGCTTTGGATCGATCGCTAATAAAAGAAAAAGAATAAAGGAATGGAAAATAGTCGTTCTCCATATCCTTTTCTTTCATGTATTTGGTTGTTTGTGGGCAGAAAGTACGGGAGAATGAGTCCAATTAGGCCTTGGGCCCTTCCAATTCGACTTCAGGCAGCTGTACTTTGTAAACTCGGTGATTAGCTATTTCATCATCTTTTTATTTCCAAAGAAATCGGGTTTCTGATGATGCACTTTCTTTACATTGGTGGCACACACTTTCAAATTTCAATTCATATAAAAAGTGGAAATTCTTGTATCTTTTTAAGGTTTGAAGTCTATCCTCAAACAGGTTACGCAAAAGAGAGAGAGAGAGAAAAAGAGAGAAAGGGTACAACTTCATCTAATATATAATTACATAAAATATAACTTCATTAATTAGTGTTCAATGTTCAGCCTAATTCTGCAGCATTGTAAGCTATTTCAAATGTATATGTGTGTTGATTTGCAAGTTTGCATGTAAACCAAGGCGTTTAAATGGTCTTGAAAATTGAAATGTCTCTGTCATTTTTATGAGATAAAGCTTTTTGTTATTTCGTAATGGCAATTAGTGTCTGTTCATCAACCGTGTAATGTCTGCAAAAGTCCACCCCAATCCATCCGCACCTGTGGATTGGGGCTCACAATTTTCATATCAAATAAATTTGTCCTCGAGTGTATGTATATAAGTTGGAATAGAGTGTAAATAAATTACAAGTAAAGTGTAGATGATTTATAGTATGGTGTAAAAAAAGAAAAAGAAAATGACCATTTTATCTTGAATAGGGTAAGACGGAACTTGTGATGCCCCGATGCTCCTCCCTTCTGATCACCCAAAAAAAAAAAGAAAAATCTAATAGATTTATGTATACAACTTTGGATTCTTATTAAAAAGTATATTAGTACATGAATAATAATCAAATATGACATCTTTGTTATATAAGTAGTTTGTCATGAATTATATTATGCTGAATTGATGTCACACAATTCACTAGTAGATGTACTGAAAACCATTCTTGCCTCTTTCCCACCGTTCTGTATATATCCTGCATATACTGGTTTTGTATTTAACAGACGACTTTTTTTTTTTTTTTTTTGGTTCTAGAAGTTATTTCTTGTAGTGATTATCCATCATGTATAAAACGACAGTACCTTTTTATTTTTGTTTTGGGCTGTGAGACGGCTGGCTGTGCATAAGCCATAAGCACCATCTTTGTAAATTCTATTTGCGTGGTGCCAACTATCCAAGTTACCCCATATAAAAAATAATCCTGCATGGACGAACCTAGCGAGGCTCGCTTGTTCGTGCTTAGCAACACTAGTCTATCTGCATAGAATTTCACACTTACTGCAGATAACCCTTTTATATAAACAGAAACTCATGGCACTGGAAATCCTAAATTAAAGCTCATGTCGATTTTCTTGGTTTCTGGACGAGTCCCTACTGCAATAGGTCAAATTTGTATTGGCTGAGAAAGGTGTTGCCTATGAATACGAAGAAGAAGAGATATTTGGAGGCAAAATAGTATTACTTCAAAATCAAACCCAGTTGTGCAGTACATTGCTGAGACTTGGCTTTCCCCTCCATTGATGCCTTGTTCTGCTTATGAACGAGCCGGGCTCGATTCTGGGCTGATTATTATTGACAAGGTGTTGGGATTTCGCCGGCATCTTAGTTCTTTCCATCCTATTTCTTTAACAGATATTACTACTATGATTTTTGTGAAATTTCAAGGTATTATTGTTTCCTTCGTGAAATATCGATCCTATGCATTTCCGATATTGCAATCCGTCGTCGATGCCCAACTTGTACGTATATAATATGAAAACTTCTTAAATTAGGTGAGGTAATCTCAAACATGAGGAGAAATATTATTGATGGTAAGAAAAAAACTAGGCAAGAAATTTCATACTTATCAAGAGGGCGAAAAGTCCATGAACAAAGAAAATCAAGGCCCCTATCCTAAGATTTGACAAAGCTTTTAACATATGTTCTTGGATGAGATAAACGCAGGGCCATAGGGATGGAATGACTCCTGAGTCTAACTTTCTAGCTTGTCCCCTTCCCTTTGTCAATAAGGGGAACCTATGTTTTGGACATTTTCCAAAATCAAATCATGTGGACGTAAAGTCTAGCTGATAGACAACACACTTCAATTAATTAAGCAGGAATGGACTTCATTTTCTGATGGCCATGAAAAAAGATGACATGGGTTTGGGACAACCCTCATGTGAACTGCCCTACATTGCTAAGATGTTAGGTGGTTGTGAGGTAATAATCTTTGATCTCTGTTCTCTAACCACAGGTCCTTGCACATGCTCCCAAATAATTTTTCTTGTCCAGCTGAATATTCATGCATGTATGTTATAGACTTAGCAATTACTAGCTAGAATCTGCTATCAAATTCAGCCACGTCTTTGTATGAGTTGAAGCTTGAAAGGACTCGTATGGATAAATATATATATATTCCATGATGAACTTTTTTTTTTTTTAAAAAAAAATAGATGTGCTTTTACAAACAGAAAATCTAGACAGCTAATGACGAAATGTGACATTAATTTGACAGGTTAATGGATACTCCATTCATACAAATTCAGTGGTTCATTGACATCATCATCAGATTAATTCCGAGCGACTTTGATAGGTGGGATTAATTACATGAAGTTTCAGAGGATATAGTCGATGTTTGAGATCACATATTGGCGACAGAATTGAAGAATTACAGTCAAGTACTCCAGTAATTATCAATTGATTGATAGAACTAAGATAAGTTCAACTCAAGAACTTCACTTGCCACTCATCAATTTAATTTTTTCTATTTGTACTGTTCTCAATCTGCATTGATTCCAGCTGGAAATGTGTAGCTCAACCGTTAAATAGATTAAGATAAGATAATTCCGCCTGGCTCTTTCTGTTTAGATAATTCAAATTTATTTTGCATGCTATAAAACTTTAGGGTAAGCTGTATGGTTCAGCATTTTTCATATGATTCTCTCAAAGTTATATATAATTTTTCATGATTTAGATTTGGTTTTAAGTATTAAAGTGACAGTCCTCCATATAATAAACCTAGTTGAAACGTCAAGATTATCTTTATTTAAAAATTAAAATAACTAAATTAGCGAAGATATATAAATGGGATTAACTTTTTATACACTAACAGTGTAGTGATTTTTTTTATACTAATAGTTATGAATTTATGCCACATATGCATAATTTAAATTTTAAATTTGGATTCATGTTATGTGGCATGATTTAAACCTGTTAGTGTATAAAAAAATTATACACTGACAGTGTACTCATATAAATTTACATATTATGGACTATGGATAAGACTTTAGCACCCATGTCATAGTATTTTTCTATATAACCCTTTTATAGTTTTCAAATATCTATTTAGTCATTGGTTAACAAATAATTTCCATCTTGACATTGGGGCACCTTTAACATTTTAGTCAGCTTTTTTTATGGAGGATAAGTTCCGTCATTTTGACACTCTAGTTTAAACTATAAAAGGGTCATGGATAAATTTTGTAATTGCAGTAGGGTTGGGTGAATACTGCTAAGCTATAGAAGGATAAACTATAATTAAGCCAATATTCTTTCCAAAACAATGAAAAACACAAACGCATATAAATTTTTTTATCATCCCAATGGCCCTATGAATGCCATTGAGGAGGGTGATGCATTCTGCATTAATATTGCAATGCTGCTATTTCTTTACCACTAAAAGGCAAAGTGTTGAGGATTATTTTTGCATCCTTTCTTTTGCCCTGTGGCTTGACATGAAAACCAGCATGTTTTGTTCATTTATGTACACTTCGCATTTAGTACAAAAGAAGTATTTGTAACCGAGCCATCAATAGGTCCAGAAAACTGGACATGGGGTGGGCATTAGACCCAGCAATTACTGATATGTCTACCTACAAACTTCATCTCAGTTTGCATGCTATTTATTCATGTCCATCTCAGGAGACAATGCACAACTGCATAGGACCTTCTTGTTGGTTGTATACTTCTTCTTGAATATTCACCGATCAATGTAGCAGGTGGTCGATGTTCTGAAGTGATATAGATGCACAAGATCCCACTATCTTCCTTCTCAATTTTACTGCCCCAAATTGAATATTGGCTACAGTTCATGTATTGGGAAATTTAACTGGAAAAATCCAAATTGTAGATGATGTAACGCCTTCAAAGTCTTCAAACTTGTGCAATTGATTATTCACCAATCATTCGCTGCCAATATCAAGTGTTTGATAGTAGCTTTTTTTTTTTTTTTTTTTTTGAAAAATCATTCTAGGATACCATTTGTGTGAAAAACAAGGTAAACATGACTAAGATCTAATAATAAACTAAACAAGGTCATTTTAGAGTTTAAAAATAATAATAATTAGAGTTGAAACCGACTCTATCAAGGATTGGTCGAACGTATGATGGGTTAACACTAACTTGAAGGAGTCCATATGTTAGTTTTTTAAAAAATAACATTAAATTGAGAAAGTATCTAATTGATGCAAACAAATTTAGTTGTATGCATTTAAATAGTACCGGTGTTAATTGGGTCCTCGATATGTAAATCTTTTTTATTAAGAGCTGTAGGTATTAGTAACATTTAATAAGTTCTTAGACAAATTTCCTATTAATGATTTCTTGATCTCTCTTCCTACTATTCCAACATACAAACGAGGTAGAAGTAACTGGTCTGAATGCACAAACCAGAGTTTGGATCGAATATTCCCTATTTAGTACTCGTATAACTATCAGTTTCCATTACTTAAACACAGCAGTACGTTCTAATTAAACAAAGAAAACAAATTGCTTCTGGGGTTTGAGAATTCTCTGTCATAGAAAATGATCCCTGTACTAAAAAACTTAATGATGCGGTATCATTTTCCCCTCTATATCATTCGTACAAAGAACTGTACTACTACCAATAATCCATTGCATTGTCAAAGCTAGCTTGCACATGCAAAATGAAAACAACTACACCGGCAATAAATTTGAAGCCTAGACCTAAGTTATGATGGCATTCATCAATAATATTGTCTTTACATGCATCCTAGCCATCCATACAAATAGCCCACAACTTTTTGCATCAGCTTTTTAATCGGT